TACTTAAGAACAAAAGTCTTGAGGGCAGCATTGACCTGACATACTGGCCCTGGATCATGTATCAAGAAAATTTTTGTTGAATGAAACAAATAAACCTCTACTGTTTAAGCCACTATTGTGGAGTGGTTTATTTGTTTGCAGTCAAAAAATATTCCTAACTAACATAGGGTTATAACAGGAAAATTGAGGATACAAATGGAGGGTTAACTGACTAGGAATCCAGAAGGAGGAAACATTTAGAAATACAAGTGGGCAGTTGGGATCAGAAGACTCTGTCAGTGGGCCACTAGCTCTCAGCTATCAGACTGGGGTTTGAGATCAGGACTCCTCCCCTAGATAGTGGACTAAAAGAGCATGAATGGGCCTAGGCCTTGACAGGGCCTTGACAGACAGGCATGGTTTCTGACTGATGGATTCAGATACAGGACATGAGACAGAAATTCAGGGTGCAGAAGTGGGGAATGAGGTATAGGATCAATGGAAACTTAAGATCAGGCTCAGACCAGAGACAAAAGGACAACTCGATGCTGAATTCCAGTATGCAGTGCAGGTTACTTCAATTCTTCCTGTTTTAGGACAGGAATAGCTTGCAGGTAGGAGGAAAATTACAGCTATAGAGGGAGAAAAGGGCAATGGGTAGGATCTGGTCAGAGCCTGACAAGCTTCAGCTCAAGCTGAGCTTTAGCCATCCTGACACTCTTCTTACAGATTCTTAGATTCACTCTTAATTACATATCCCTCTTTCCATCTTTTCTCCATGATCTTTTAAGATCTGAGCTTAACAGAAAGCTCACTGTGTAACCATACTGGCTTCGTTAAATGGCTCCCACTTTGTCTTCTCTCTAATTGCCAGCATTTCACTGTGGAAAACCTCCTCTTCCCTCTACTCCAAGTTGTCTTCCCTCCTGCCTGGTTTGAGGGCCGTCTATCATTCTTCCTGGGCAGTCTGGGCCTCTCAGGAGAGATACACCTTTATCCTCTGGCGTTCACTGTTGCTAACCAAGAGGTAGGTAGCGAGAAAGGGCTGGGGAGAAGAGCTGGCCAGGTTTTGACTGACTCTAGGGAGCAATGGGCCACTCCAGCTCCCTTCCCTACCTTGGCTATTTTACTCCAGGGGCCTATGCCCTCCCTTCCCCCAACCCAATTTCTTACTTCATCTAGAGAGAGAATGAGAGCCTCATCTGACTGCTGGTATGCTACCACTTCTCCTTTGTGTGCAGTGAGTACTGTGTGGGTAAGTTATTGTTACATTGTGCTCCTGTGTTAAATGGACCTTTGTGAGACACTTTTTGCTCTGTGTTCTGGGGTATAGGGAGGAAGTCTTGCCTGAGTGACTTCTCACAGAAAGCTCCAGAGGTGCTCAGAGCTGATAGCCTAGGCTTGGAAGACTGCTCTTTCATTGGCACTCAAAGTTGTCAATCACTGTGGTCCTGCCAATCAGCTCTGAAATAGGAATCTGTAAGAGATTAGCCTCCTTTGTTAAACATAACACTGAACCCTCCAAGGACTAAACAAAGAATGGCTCAGAAAAGGCAGTTCCTAGGTGGGCAGAGGCAATCGTGCCAGTGTCCCTAACTGGAGCTCTTTGGTTTCACTCTCTTTCTTTAGGCTCTGTCTCTATTCCTTACATCTAGGCCCCCAGTCCTAAGTCCTTTCATTTCTGCCTCTTTCATTTCCCTCTCATGTGTATTTCTTCTCTCTGTCCCCAGTGCTGCTGCCTTTGTTCAGCCCTCAACACCTCTTACCTGGACTACTAACCAGTCTCTCAGCATCCAGTCTCACCTCCTTCAACCCAGCCAAATCAATTTTCTAAAAATACAAGTCTGATTGTGTCACCTCCTGCTAAACACCTTTCAACCTCTTCCACATCTCCTAGTGCCTTTGGGCTAAAGTCCAAACTACTTAGCATGGCATCCAGGGCTCTTCATGATTTGGTTCCTGCCAAATTCTCAGCCTCATTTTTGGCAGTACTCCCACTTCATACCTAGTCATAATGAACTACTTTGTAGGTTTCTGAACATGCCATTCCTGATTTTGCTTCTAGGCCTTTACACATAACATTCTCACTATCTGGGACATCATTGACCCACCTTCTCTGCTATCTGTTTAGCCAGGACCTACTCATCCCTCATGATTTCAATTAAACTCTCACAGCCCAACATATATATTTCATTTGTGTCTGTGTTGTTGATGTCTAGTATAGATAGATATAGAACATAATAGATCCTCAGTAGATGTTTAATAAATGAATGAATGAATGAATGTCCCAACTCAAGTGGCTGTGCTCAATATCACCTCTGAGGGAAAGTGGCAGTTGACTGGTCCTTCCCTCTATGAGAGGAAGACCTCATCCTTACCCAATTACACTGGGTAGCAATTGTTTTTTTTTTAACAAGTCTGCCTCACTAATTCAACTGTGAGCATCTCAAGGGCAGGGCTATGTCTTATCAACCCCAGTTTACTGCCTAACTCCCAGCATAGTGCCTGAAACAATGAATAAATAAGCTTCCCAAATACCCGACAGTTCACTCCCTTGTCTTGTCCCCCACTATTTGCTTACCCACAAACTCTCACCATCAATATACCTAAGTGGTCACACTCAAGGCTTCACAAACATGCAAAGGTTCACCCCATCCCTGAAATTTTTTACCTGCATTCCTCTTACCTGGAATGTCCTTCTGACCCACCCACCCACATCCTGATACTTCTTTAGAAACCAGCTACAATTGCCCCTCTTCCAAAAAAATTTCATGCACCCACCCCAGCCTATCTCTGAGCAGTGCTAACCATTCCCCATCATCCCATTTAACCCTTGGCATCCCTTCATGTAACTAAGGGGAAAACTAAAACTCACAAAGGGAAAGATTCTTTCAAGGGAACACAGTATGTTCAGTGGCAGAACTAGTACCTGAACCCATGTCTCCAGCCCACGAATCCTTCCACTGGCCAATACATGTCTTGCTTCCTTAAATAGACTATAATTTCCTTTTAAGGAAGGAATGTATTTACCACCCTTCATCTTTCCAGGCAGGGCCTTTCTGACTCCAGAAAGAGAGAGCTCTAGGGCCACACTGACTGAGTTTCTACCTTGGCTGCTCCATTACCTTAGGCAAGTTTACCGCGCTAAACCTCAGCTTCCTCACATGTGAATGAAGATAAACAGCAGTACCTATCTGGCAAGATTGTTGTGAGGATTAGATGAATAATGCTTTTAAAGTACTAGAGCAGGACCTAGCACAAAGTATGAGCTCAATAAATGCTATTTTCTTTATTGTTATGATTCTTAATATTAACAAAACGGTCCTGGCAATGGTTGATTAAAAATTAGAATGTGGAAGTTACTGGGAGTTGGGGAGAGTTAGCGAGAAAAGAAAGTAGACCACAGGATCCGTCTGAGATTTGGTGGAATCCAAACAAGGTTAGTGGCAAGGCAGGACGTTTGTATGTCTGAGATCCTAGTGGCACCGTCTGACTCTGCAAGAGCCCCTAGCACATGGTTCCATCTGGCGGTGCAGCTTCCCTAACTCTTCCTCAGCTATTCTCAGCAGCCTGTAGGGGGAGCAAGGAAGCTAGGACGGGTTGGGGGGGGTGCTGGAAATATTTCTAAGGGCAAAAAAAAAAAAAATGACACCCCACCAGTACTTCCCATCTTAGCCCACTTTTTGCCCCTCCAGGATGCTCTCAAGCTGGGTCCTCTTCCTCAGCTGAGCTGGGAGCTGTCCTTCAGCACCAGGGGCCGCCTTGGTCTCCGGCAGGACAGTGAGGGCGACAGTAGAGTTAAGAACACGGGACTGGTCCGACCTGCAGCCGGCTCTAGTGTCTCCTAGTCTTGGGGACCGGGGAGGCGACCAAAGGAGGCAATGAGACAGAACGGTGTCTCCTTCCTCCTGCCTCCAAGGATCACCCTCAGAAGTACCCTAGCCCTGGGATTGGGGGAATGAGGGGTGGCCTTGGGGAGGGAGGAGGGCGCTGAGGTTGGTGGGGGAGGGGGAGCGCTGGGGCCTGGGACTCAGCGTGTGGTGTGCGCACGCGGGGAGCGGGCGGATGAACGGAGGCGCTGAAGTGAATGGAGTTGGGGGTGGACTGGAAACATCCCCAAACAGCACAGGCTGCGGCCGGCGGGGGCTGGGGTGGGGTGGGGGGGGGAGTCCTGAGGCGCAGGCGCAGTCGGGGCCCAAATCCCGCTCCCTCCTCCTTTCAGTGTCTGTTTCTCCGCCCCGCTCCCCCCTAAACACACTCGCACACTGGCTTTCAAGGTGTTCTCCGCACAGCGGAAGATGGCGACAGACTGACGGGGCATGGCCAGCGGGAGCCACGGGCTGTGCCGCTCGGCGGCCGCTGCAGCGGTGTGAACGGGAGGCGGAAGCGAAAGGCACACTAAGTAAAGCCCGGTGTCCGCGTCCGGCGCCTGTGGCGCTGCCAGGAGCCAGGTGGCCCTCCCGTGCCGGAACTCCGGGAGCAGCGGGTGCGGAGCCAGAGCAGAGCTGGCCCGGGACCGGCCCCGGCGAACAGCCGGAGCGCGAGCGAAGCCCGAAGGGCTGGGCAGCGGACCGGCTGGCCGGCCTAGGAGGGCGCGAGCGAGGAAGGGAGCGGCGCGGAGCGGGCAGCGGGCGGACTGGCGGGAGAGGAGCGAAGCGGGGCGAGAAGATCGGAGCGGAGCGCGGCTGCGGGCCCGCACGGCGGCGCTGAGGGGCGCAGAGCTGCACCGAACCGAGACGGCCGGAACAGAGTGAGAGCCGGGCGGCCGCTGGCGCGGAGTGAAGTGGCGCGGAGCGGAGGGCATGTGAGGGGCCCGACACTATGAGGAGTGCGGCGCGGCCGCCGCAGCCGCCACCGCCCCAGTGCCCCGCACCGCCCCCCGCTGGGACGCCGGGCAGTGCCTAGCGGGCCGGGTGGCAGCGCCCAGGCTGAGAGCTAGGGAGCGCGGGAGCGGTGCGGGACTGCACAAAAGCGCCCCGAGACTTCGGCCTGAGCGGGGCCCCGGGCCGACTGGCCTGCCTCACCATGCAGCCCCCAAGGTAGAGCCTGGACGGCGTCGAGGAGCGCGGAGTGGCGTGCAGCCCGCCCGACTGGGACGGCCGTCCGGCCTCGCGCCTGCCTACTCCCTTCATCCCGGACCACCCCTGAAATATGTTCAGGGGCGCTTGGATGTGGCCCGGAAAAGATGCCGCCGCGCTGACTATCTGCTGCTGCTGCTGCTGTTGGGCTCCCAGGCCAAGCGACAAACCTTGCGCCGACTCCGAGCGGGCGCAGCGATGGCGACTGTCCCTAGCATCCCTGCTCTTCTTCACCGTGCTGCTCGCTGACCATCTGTGGCTGTGCGCGGGGGCCCGACCCCGGGCCAGGGAGCTGAGCAGCGCCATGAGGCTGCCCTGGGGAGCCGGCCGTGAGAGGCAGCCAGTGCCTCCTCGCGCGGTATTGCCGCTGCCACCGCCGTCGCCCGGCAAGTCCAGCGCGCCCCCGGGCACCTGCGGCCCGCGATACAGCAACCTGACCAAAGCCGCCCCCGCCACCGGCTCTGGGCCGGTCTGCGGCAGCGTCCCAGAGCCCACGGGGCTGGACGCTGCTTGCACTAAATTGCAATCTTTGCAAAGACTTTTCGAACCGACTACCCCAGTCCCTCCTCTGCGGCCCCCTGATTTCCTTTCCCGTGCCCCAGCTGAGTTCCCCTCTGCCAAAAAAAACTTGCTCAAAGGCCACTTTCGGAACTTCACTCTCTCCTTTTGCGACACCTACACGGTCTGGGATTTGCTGCTGGGCATGGACCGCCCGGACAGCCTGGACTGCAGCCTGGACACCCTGCTGGGGGACCTGCTGGCCGTGGTGGCCAGTCCGGGCTCTGGGGCCTGGGAGGCGTGTAGCAACTGTATCGAGGCGTACCAGCGGTTGGACCGACATGCTCAGGAAAAATATGACGAGTTCGACCTCGTGCTGCATAAATACTTACAGGCGGAAGAGTACTCAATCCGGTCCTGCACGAAAGGCTGTAAGGTAGGAATTGGTGTCCGCGGCCACAATGGCTGTCTGGGCAGCGGCAGCGATAGTAGGGGGACCAAGACAAAAAAGGAGGTCTCCGTCTCTGCCCACCCCACCACTCCCACCATTCTCAGTGCAGCAATACCTGAGACCTCTCTGAGACCCTCCCTAAAGGGGCCTCAGAGATTCAGGTCAGGTAACCCACCCAGCCAACTTCTATTAATTCCGGGTTTGAGCACCTTAGGGCTGGGGCTTCCTGGCGCCCCGCCTCCGCGTGAGAAGGGCGGGGCTGTGGGGCCCTCGGCTGGCAAAAGGGTAGCAGGAGGAATTATACTCCCCTAGCCTATACCCTTAACCAGCTGTGCCCCCCTCCTTTTCTGGGCTGAAATTGAAAGTCCTGGAACTAGCTGGTCCAAGGAGGAGGACAAAGGGTGAGAAGAGGGGTATTCCTGGTGGTGGGACACATTATATGCTGTTGACCTTATGTGACCTGAAGTGGCTGGCCACAGCCAAGACAGGTGGAGCCCCAGAGTGCCTGTCTTCTCCCAAGGAGGGAACCTGCAAGTTCCTCTCCCCTGACAAAGGAAGAAGCTGGGAACAGAGTACTGTGGCTGTGGGAGGGCCACTGAAGGTTGTTGCATTACCAAACTCCCAGTGCCTTCCCAGAGCCCCAGGTTGGCAATGGAGGGAAAGCTGGCTTTCTGGCTGCTGGGGACAGGCATCCATAGTGTAAGCCAGGCAGCTGCAAAATGGGACTGCCTAAGGTAGAGCTGAGTGTTGAGAAACTTTGTGATCCTCAGCAGGGTTGTTTTGGACAGTATGTGGGTGGGGGCTGCAAACATTTGGGACCTGATGCTAATGCCCTATTTACCCAGTCTGGCCAGGTAGACTGCCTTTGAGAGAAAACAGAATAGCAAGGTCAAAGGGTCAAATGACAAGGAGACCAGGTGGGGTAGTGGCCTCACATATCCTTGAGCTGGGGCCAAGAGCTGGAAAGGGAGACAGTTGCCTCCTTGCCTAGCTCATCTCCTTCCAAGGCTTTTGGGAGGGGCAGAAAATGTCCCTTTCCTCCAGCATGGTCCCTCTGGACTTCTGCAAGGCTTCCATGCTTTTGGTGGACTCTATAGGGATTTGAGGATGAGAGCCAGGGAGGAAAGGGGTAGCTCCTTGTTCCTGACTCCACTTTCTCCTTCTCTTTTTTCCTGTTCTCGTAACCTAGCAGTCTCTCTCCCGCCTCCCTCAGCCTCAGCTGACTCACTGCCTCACTCACACTACCAAATGAGATATTCCACTTCTTAAAGGTGTACAGACAGATAGACACATACACACTGCCATATACCACCACCACCACCACCAACCGGGCAAAGTCACACAGAAATACAGAGAGGTTGTCATACCCACAAACGGTGTCACAGAAGCAGACACCATGTCACACACACACAGTGTCAGAGACACACAGGCAGAAGTACTGTCACATGTAGAATGACACATTTAGTCTATAAAGACACATACCTTTGATGTCAGCCACAGACACACACACACAATGGGGGCAGAGGGATATAATCTACAAAGAGATTGAATAAAGCATGTCTGCCTTTTGTGGCCCTCTTTTCAACCCCATAGCCATGACTAGTTTATTTCTCAGTCACCAGTATGAATGAGAGCCATGCCACAACTTTTCCAGGGGGGTTTCTCCATGTTACAGTTGGTTCCAAGCTCCAACTGATCCTGCTTTAAATAATAATATCTCATGTTGATTGTTTTTACCAAGCAGTTTAATGTAGGAGAAAGACATCTGATCTCTCCAATTTAGGAGGCCTTATCACATCGACAACTTATTAGTGGTATGACCTTGGCCAAGTCACTTCATTTCTCCAAGCTTTCATTTCCATATTTGTAAAACAGGGATAATATTCCTTGCTTGCCACATCCTAGGTCTTTTGTGAGACTTAAGTGGTAAGAGGTAGCTGATAGTATTTTGCCACAAGAATATAACATCTGACATGATGTTTTAAGGTTTTCAACTCCTCTCAAATATATTATTTTACAAATGAAGAAACTGAGGTGCAGAGGGATCGAGCAGTTTGCCCTAAGATCACTCAGTTAATGAGGAGGAGTTGCAGGACTCTAACTCATGTGTTTTAGTGCTAACTCTATGCTTTTGCATGGCCTCTCATCAAGTTCCCAGTGGCTCTCCCTCCTCTCCTTTGTTTCCTTGTCTGTCTCTCTCCAGTGAGCAAGTGAACTCCTCCTGCTCTCTTGTTGCCTGCTGTGCTGGCAGAAGGGCAATTCCATCTCCACAGCTTTCTTCCTGTCTTTCCCACCCCTTTTCCAATGCTCTCTCCCTCAACCAAAGCCTGGACACACAGGCTTTCAAATCCAGGTGTGTTATGGGCACTAAGGGAAAATACAGCTCTGATGCCCTCCGTGCAAGCCTTGTCCCCTGAACCCTTCATCCCATCTCCCTCACAGGGCTTCTCTGCCAATCCCCTGACCTGCTCCTAGGCTCCAGGCCCTTCTATACAGCCCTCACCCCAAATGAGATTCCTGGGAGATGCTCCACCCTCATAGTTTCTCCTGAGTGGAGAGTTCACAGCCCCAGGCCAGGACAAGGAGGCTTTCTCTACTTCTGGAAACCAGCCTGGAGACTCTGACCCACAGCTGAGTGACCCCGTACCCAGGGCTCAGGTCCTTCCTGGATGGCCCCAGAAACACTGTCATCTGCCTTTACAATGTCTGCCCCTGTTTCGGGCAACAAAGGGCCCTCAAAATCATACCTGTCCTCACTTCTGCCTGTAACACCTCCCAATTTAGTACCAGCTGCAACATTTCCTTAATGTGCGACTGACTTCCTCTCACACAGCAGAGCAATATTAACTTAGGCAGGCCAATACCCATCCTCACCCTGGCCTCTCCCAACAGCTGGGGCCATCTCCACCCTTTTCTTATCTCCCTATGTGCCTCTAAGCCCTTCTCTCCCCCTTGGCTGTGTTGGCCCTACCAAGGGTTACTGGGCAGAAACCTCACTCCCCCACGGCTCTCTATCCTCCCAATAGGTGCTGTGCTTCTGCCTGGTTCTGATTGCCTCTTTCCCCGCCTCTTTCCTACTCTCAATTCAGAACATTCAGACTGGGGGGAGTGGTAGAGATGGGAGCAAAATCCTGGCCTCTTCTGCCATGGCTCCTGATCTAAGAGGGAGTAGAAGTTCAGGAGAGGGACAGTTCTCAGCTGTCTAACCAGCCATAGGGCCACATTAATAAAGGTTAGTGCCAGGGAAGAATGTGATAGTTCTGCTCTATTCTGGACTGGCCCAAACCCACCTGGCAGACCATATTTTTGGTTCTGGGTCTCACATTGACTGGGCTTGGAAGGGAGCTGGAATTCAAGTTCTCTTGGAGAGACTTGAAGGAACTGTTTCACTTGGAGAAGTGGAGATTCGGGAGGATGTGGTCTCTGACTTCACATCTCACAACAGTTGTGATACAAAAGAAGCCTATCCTAATTGTCCCCAAAGGGAATTTATAGTTAGAAAATCCTAGGTGCAAATCTAGCTCCTTTATATATTACCTCTATGACCTTGAGCTAGGGCCTTCAAGTCTCTGAGCCTCACTTTTCTCATTATTAATTAGAAGTCTGTACAGTACCCATGCCTGGCACATCAGAGTTGTTCAGTTAAGTTTTTTTTTTTCCTTCCAAAGAAGAAACAGGCTGTCTTAGGAGAAATGAGCTCTTGCTTCTAGGAAATGTCTGGTCCAATACAGGTAGATCCCTGGGGAATATGCTGAGGAAGTTAACACCAGATGATGGGGGGAGTTGAGCCAGGTGACCTCTGAGGTCTGTTTCAGCCCAGAGTTGAGGCCTGTGAACAGGCCCTGTTCCCTGAACACCAGCATTGCATGGGGAGGGTTGGGGAATGAGGTTGGGCCTAACACCCACACACAGAGAGGAGGTGGGGGGCTGCCAGAGCCAGTGCCTTGCCTTCTGCCCATACCCACTGGGGGCCTGCTCTTCCTCCACTCTGGCTGGCAGCTGTTTCTGCCTGACTGCCTTCTTTCCTCCCACCTGCCACAGCTTTCCTGCCAAGCAGGACTCCCAGGCTAATGCAGGAGATGAGGGGTGCCAAGATCAGGGAGCTCAGAGCACTGGGCAAAAGGCAGGAGCCCCAAATTAGCTAGTGATTTCTGTTGTCATCCAGTCTGGCAGGCAGGGAGCCCTGCTCCACAAGCAACCTCCCTGACCCAGGGCCCTTGGGACCAAAAAGGGTACCCTGGCTCCTGTTTGGGACTGGAGGAAAGGTGAGGCGGTCAATAAGTGGCCTCCTGGGAACTAAGACAAATCTGCCCTGGGGGAGGAGCCTCCAGATCTACAGAAACTCATCTCCTAATTGCCACAGAATATGAGCATAGGGTTCTGGGAAGAGGCAGGAACTTGATGTCTTGGAGTAGCGACAGAGAGGAGGCAATATTTACAGCTAGGACAAGGAAATAGTGAATTAAGGCTGATAGTGGGAAAGTGGCTTCCTACTGCCCATACCTGGCCAGATCTCTTGTCTCCATCCTGACCCACTCCCATTAAAACCCCTATGTTCCTCCCACATTTTAGCCCACACCCAACCCCCATTCACATACTAAGGACCCCACAACCTTCCGCATATTCTATTTATCATCCTAGCACCATCCCAAACCACACTTACACTTTATTCTCTAATCTTTTTCCCTACACCTACACTCCTACAACTCCTGCTCCTCCTAACAGTTACCTCCACCTCTGCCAACCTTCTCCTTTACCCCACTCCCCACCTTGCTCCTGTCAGCCCCTCCCATCCCACTCCACTTGCCATCTCCCACCTCACACCCCTCCCAGCCTTTAACCACTCTTCTGGACTCCATGCTTCTCACCCCTGGCATCCCTCACACCCCACCTCCTTTCTCCAACTCTCTTCTCCTAGCCCCTCTCCTCTCTGCTCTCTGTCTCTTCCCACCCTTCTCTCCTCCCCATTCAGGGTAGACATGTGC